TTTCTTTCTTCTTTAGGTTGCCTTTCGTTTGTCCATGAACAGCTCGATTTGACCATGGGTATGCATCGCATCGTGAAATCACGAAATCATATGGAAGATGCAGGCTCTCAAGCGTCCATACAAGAGACAAAAAGCGACCCATCCTGAAAGAGAGGAAAGAGGTTCGCCGGTTGATGGGGCGCCAAGGGCACCGAAATGTAGTTTGGCATCGCCATATTTTATATTTTATATTTTATATTTTGATATTCTGGTCTACTCGCAACCCTCGAAGGCGGTGCCGCCATACTTCAGTACCGCCACCAAAAAACCGCCATATTTGGCAGTACCGGGAACCGCCGGAGACGGTACCGCCATATTTCAGTACCGCCAGAAAAATACCGCCGAAAAAACGAAGTACCGGGAACCGCCAAAAAAGTACCGCCACTTTGCAGTACCGCCAAAAAAGTACCGCCACATTCGGGTGGTACCGGGAACCGCCAAAGGCGGTACCGCCGGAAAACGAAATACCGCCAACCGCCAAAAAAATACCGCCACTTTGCAGTACCGCCCCGCCTGGATCCGCCTAAAAAACTAGTACCGAGGTGTACCCTGAAAATTTTGACAAAAAAGTCGGTCCGTTTAAAACGGCCCTAAAAGTGTTGTTACGCTGTCTCTTTTTGGGCTGTCCCTTTTCTCAAAAAGGGACAGCCCAAAAAAAGATATGGAAAAACGACAACCCACTTGTTATTCCCGGTACCACCCGAATGTGGCGGTAATTCCCGCCAGTACCGGGACCGCCCACCACGGCGGGAAAAAAACGGCGGGAATATTCCCGAGGTGTACCCTGAAAAAAAACGAGGAAAAACGTATGGTATTCTACAGGTGTATGGGAGGTGAGCCAACAAACTTGGCTGCCCCCGTCAGCATCCTCGGTAACAAACGAACAAACCATGCTATTGAGAGGAGTCGTGGAAGGACCGTTGACGCGGCGAAGGGGGTGGAAATCATACGACACATGGATGTGCACTACTGCTGTAGAATAGGTTGTCTACAACCTACAATACGCACCGGCAGCGCCCTACTCCCGTGCCTGCCTTGTCTGCACGCCCAGTTCCTGTGCCCTGCACTCTGATCTTCCCACTTCAACAGGTACTGCCCAATACATCTCACCTTCAGTAGCCATCGGACAACCTTCACCAATAAGTGTGACACTCCCCCTTCCCCCTCTTGGTCCTCGCGAACTCGTCGGCGGAAGTGATGTGGAATCTGGGGAACTCAACCTGGTGACCTACCTGGTCGCTGTGGCACCGCCGGTGGCAGGGCGACCCTGTTGGAATCGTCCAATCAAACAACGAGCTGAGTGTTTCGCAAAATGGGAATCTCTCTCAAGCCGGTGGAGGAGCAATAGAGCTCTCTTCCAGAGCAGCTAGCAAGGGGTAACGGTGTCCATGGGCAGCTCACGCTTTCGCCGACAGCAAGAAAATTCAGTTGTTAATTGTCTCTGGCGCGAAGTGATGGCTGCCGCTTTGTTCAGTCGTCAGCCTGGCTGCAGAAGCAGCAGGAACTGGGGCAGGAACGTGGTGCATGTGTGCGGCGGAGCGATGCTCTGGTTGATGTTGGGATCTGTCTTGGCCAACGCTGTCCGGCTCAACCCTGAGAGTGCGCTCCAGCCAGCCGACCTGATGGGCAGGAGCGGTGCGGAGTCGACCACGAGAAATAGCTGGCGCAGGAGCAGGGGCGCGGGGGGGCTGCAGCAACAGGCAGAGTGGGCAACGAGCGATAACACCACAAGCTGCAGCACCCCGATCAGCATGAGCGGCGACCATAGCGGAAGTCGCGGAAGATTCCTACGGGACCATGCCGTGGGCATCGGGGTGGGCGTGGCCGCGGCCATGTCGTACAAGTCGGAGCCAGCGGATGCTCTTTTCGGTGAGGACACGTGTCTCTGTTTGTAAGGGCTGTCTGCCATTGTGTCATTGTACCAGCACATACTTTGTACCTCTGGGATATGCGGTGCGCGATCCACCCACGAGTAGCACCAAAAACACGACGAACGTCGCAAGCGACCCAACGGCTGAATTCCGTAACGTCCACACCACACGCGCAGTTTCTACAGCAGTACTGGTCCAGCATGCACAGCAGTAGCATCACGCGAAGATCAAGTGTGAGTCGTTCTCAAGGTAGACTGCCTTCAAGGCGCGCGAAAGTTGAAGCTCTTGTGTAGACTCGATCGCGCGCACGGCGGCGGCACCCAGCAGACCCGGCAGTTTGGTGCAACTTTTTTTTTTTTTCTCCCATCATTGGACTCTGTCGTCTGCCCCTCTGGCCCCTATCCTCCACTTCTACTAGCTAGACGACCCAACCGGGGTCACATAGGAGGGGGGGGCTGGACCTCCTCCTGCGGTTCCTGCCTGAGGTATTTTTATCGCGAGCAGGGTACAGCAATCCCTTCCCTCGCGACTTACGAAGTCGATTATGGTTTGCTAACAACGAGCTTTGCAGCGCGTCGCTTTCATCCTAGACCAGGATTTATTTAGTGAAACTGTAGGCTGCTGTATGCATCTACATAAACGGTCAAGAAATGCCTCTATTACGGAGACGTTTGTCGGTGCTTGCTGCTGCTGTCAAGACATACGACGCTACTCACACACCACATCGGCAGGCTCTGTTGCAATTTGCACAATGTGTGGTTGCTTGGGGTGTGATGCAGCTGAGCCTAAGTCCAATAGTTGCTTGTTCACCACCGAGTTCCCTGCGAGAAGATGGTGTTCTAAACGTAAATATGTTGAGCACCTTGATCTCGTATTTCAAGAGCTCTGCTGAAAAAGGGTACAGTTTCATTTGACGGGAGAATTCAATTTAATTCGAGTTCACTACGGCGGTGGGGGCCCCGGTTCCCTACATTATGTAAGCACGAAAGGTGTTCGCTATTGAGGGCTGGTCACTAAACCGAACAATCATGTAGCAGTTATACTACCAGGTGCGGCGGTGCCACGTGATTTGGTGGTCGCTAAGTAGGGCATGTCGCTAAACAGCGGGTCGCTATACCGAGACCCCCACAGCCCGGGGGGTCGCCGTCAAGGGGAACTATCTATTTTATGGAAGAAATTTGGCTTGTGAGGCACAAATTTTACCGCTGAAGCGAACAACACCATCACGGACATCGCTCTCAGTTATGACGGTCGGCGGACGGTGGCAGCCGTCCATCAACCAACGCTACGATTGACTTCCACGACGAAAAGCACGCAAAACAAAACACAAGAGACTTATGATAATGTCGTAGAATATGCTTCCCTTCAAGGGGTCGGTTTGGAGAACATGGTGGAAACGACAAAGTATAAAGAGCATCACCGCAGGGGCTTGAACCTTCGTACGCCACATGTTTCACTAAAAGGAGAGCAATAACACATCGTTCTCACTCCGTCCTCGTTGTGCTTTATGGCTGTGCCAATCTTTCAACCTTTTTTGCGTTCGTTTGGGCTTGCTTTTTTGGAGAGGACTTCAAGAAGGAGGGGAAATGCCCCGCGTACAAAGCCGTGGAAAACTTCGACATTGACAAGTACATGGGCATATGGTGAGTGATCATGGATCTTTTACAATATCCTTGCTTGAGAGACCGCCCCTCGGGACTGTACCTCCTCTCCCAATGAGCGGATGCGGTTTTGTCTGGACCGACAGGGGGAAGGCAGGAATTGGTCGACAGTAGTGCCCTTTTTCCCGGACATGTTGCTGCACAGGGTCTAAGTGTTGGAAGAGGAATTATTTGGTACATACACCGAGTCTCTCCCGCCTCTGCCTCTGGCGAGTCCCCTCCGTTCTCCCCTGGTTTCACTTGCATGCTCTTGCAACGGTTTCGCCTCCATTTTCGTGAAGTCCATGTGAGTGTCGAGTGTGTACATGACGAGGTGGGTGTGAGGCGTTCGCAGAAGCACACAACGGCAGGGTTGTTGCTTGTCTCCGCACACGCTTACTTCGTATTCCCCTTCCCTGTGGTCTGAAGACGACCGCCGTGTCTGGTTTGGAGTATCCCCCCCTGCCTCCCGCGGGGTCTCAATCATCTGCCGTCTGCTTCAACCGATTCTGTCTGTCTGCTGTGCACCCTCTCTCTCTCTCTCGGTCTCCCCTTCCCCCTCATGATCCACGCTCGAAGCTTGCGCTTGCAGGCAGCAATCGCTTGCAGGCCATTATCAAGCCCCGCAGCACACATCAAACGTTGCTGACGTGGCGTAAGAGGTGTATGCGACGACCAAGGCGGATCGCGGGATTCTCGCTACATCACCCTTCCCGTTCAACCCCCGCCCCTTTTCACGGCCCGTGGTGCTCCGCGCGCACCAGGTACGAGCTAGCGTATCACGACTGGACCCAGATCAAGATCTGCGGGTGCACTCGGTTCAACATGACGAGGACGGACGACCGAATAAAGGACGCTTTCACCACGAAGTGCCCTCACGAGGCCGACGAGGGCGAGACGTTTCTCATCAACATGCGCGAGGTCATCGACCGCAGCTCTCCGGGAAGCTTCAAAGAGTACGCCTTCTACAACAAGTGGGACAACAAGGTGCCGAATCGATGGGTATTCGCGGGGTGTTTTCCTGGTAGTAGCACCTCCTCGGGCAATCGAAGCATGTTCTTTGCGGGGTTGAATCCGTGGAGGATGTACACGCTGCTCCTGAACGTGAAATGGCTTGCTTGTGATTTTTTTTCCACGTGTTGCTGTTTTTTCTATTAGAAAGACTGAAGTTCCGCTCGCACTCGACATATTCGATTATTTTCCCATACCATAGCCCTACTAGAGTGAGTGTTCTCTCCGAAAGAACACCGTTTGTTCGGCGTAACCATATGACATACAGAGGACAGGGGGTACGGCATCAAGGCAGTTTCCGCGATTGGGTTTTCACTCCATCCCGTAAGGTTTTATCAACCCGCCGCTTGGGAAAATGGGCAATTCCCCCCATTGTGCGACATTTCCCAGATACAGTTCAATTATGCTCTTCGGCGATTTTGGTGCTGCTGCGGTGTCTCAACGATCCCGGTCGATAGCAGAAAACCTCACCGGCGGGTAAACTCACATACACAGGTCGTGGCGCTGTGGAGGTCGAACGAGGGGCAGTACGAGCGAGCGATACAGCTGCAGTGCGTGGAGATCCTGGGGCGGCGGGCCTTTGTCGGCATCAACTTCCTGAGCCGCGAGCCCCTGGTGCCCCCGCGAGCGATGTCGGAGATGTTCCAGAAGGCGAAGGCGCTCGGCCTGGCGGGGATAGGAGGGAGCCCCGCAGAGATGGAGATCGTTCGGCACGAGGGGTGCCGATATCCCACCTCATCGGGGAACAAGGAGAGCCGCAGTTGGGGGTCGGCGTGGGGGGTGAACACGCTGGCGTTATAGCGACAAGCAGCTCTGCCCTTTTCGAGGACCCAACAGATTTGTGGTGGCAGTGGGGCAGCTCCTCTCAGCGATGGGGAGAGGAGCAGTTACTTTGGAGCTTTGAGGTGGGTGCGATGGCAGTGTGACCCAGAAGCGAACCGAGCAGATGAGTGTCGGTCGATGATGGAACGCCTCATTCACCTCGACCTCGGCCTTCTTTGGACGAAACAGCGACTCTCTCCATGCCCTGCCGCAGGGGCGGAGGGATATTCCTCGACTGGGAGCAGCTTCAGACGCTAACGCCACGCATATTAAGCACCCTGTTGCCCTTTTTTTTCTAATGGTTTTTCCTTTGAATTTCCGCCGGTGCACTAGCGTCATATCTGAGAAGCGTTAGGGATGGTCTTGCGCAAGTAGCCGTAGGCCGTTTCCGCTGAGGGTGAATGTCTCCAGGGTGTTTGGGGCAAGATTGAAGTAACAGTGAACGGGAGGGAGGGCGAGCCGCACGGGAACCGAGCTGTTCTCGATCATGGTATTGCAGAGGAAAGCTGTACGGGCTTTCGCGTTCCCTAGGGTTTGGAACGATGGCATCTAGTGTCGGCTTTGCTTGTCGGATGGTCCTGGGGGAAACCGATGAGTGAGGCGGGCTGGCGATGCACTTCATTCTAAATAGGGTGGAAGTATCACAGAGAAGAACACAACATGTGCTAGTGTTTTCGGCGCAATTCTACGCCTTTCGATACATGTTTGACTTATCTCAGAGGGTACAACACAGGAGAACGGGTGAGCATAGAATTTTCATGCTCGGGAAAATATATTAGTGCATGGCGCCTCAATAGAAGATGATGTTTGTACCGACAGAGGTGTCGGATTGAGCGGAGCGTTCGGGTTCAATCCCCTATGGTTTTGGCATGAGGGGGTCCGGTCGATGAGAGATTGCATATGTTTGACAAAAGTCGTGTCGCTAATGATCGCTTCTTAGGGCGGCCTATCCTGTTGTAGGGCGGTGGTCTTGTGCAACGCGCCGCGGTGTCGAGACAAGAACCGGTTTTTCTTGGGGTGGTGGGTGTTCGGGTTCTACACTATCAAACGCTCGCCAAAAAGAGAGAGAAAGGGAGCACCGAAGCCAGGTGTTCATTGATATTTTTAGAATATTTGTTGTTAATGGGCGTTCAACATCGAGTCATTGAAAATTTCGTCTGGTTTTCAGTGATGCGTTAGTTGTTGTTTCTGGAACTTTCCGGGGTTTTGGACTACATTGACTAGCGGTGTCCTGTTTTCCTTTTGATGGTACATGGCGCACTCTGGATGTATGCGTGCCCTTCACAGTTTCCTCGGTCTAAGTAGCTTGCCCTAGATTGTTATCTCATGAAAACTGGCGTTATTCGAGATCTTGAGTCGTTATATTAGCACGCATTCAAATGCTCGTAGCTGTTGGGAGTTTGCTGGGAGGGTTGATGATGTGAGTGAGGCAGACTCAGTGTTAAATGTGTGATCGGACCTGTGACATTGTCACCCCGTGAGCCTCTTATGAAGTGCCGCCAGCAAAGCAACACAGGGGGAATTTCCTTATCACACAGAGGGGAAGTTGACTTGTAGAGTTTCATGATAAAGTTGATCATCATGGCCAGCACGCGGCCGTTAGTTGCCGTTGGTGTTGAAGAACGTGAGCGAGTGAGTGAGTGAGCTGGAGCAGCCGCGTTCCAATTTACAGTGCTTGTCTAGCTCTTCTATGGGCGCCCTCCACCAGAAGGCAGCGTTGGTTCAGATTTCAAACCGAGCTGATTGACCACGATGAAATTCCGTGCCTCATTGGGATACGAACGGTCGACAGTTCACTCAACCTCGTCGTTCTCTGGTTCACCCCAAGACTATTGATCTGATTGGCTCCCCATACACGCCTCTAGTCTCCTTTAAACAGTTCAACAAGGACACAAAATGTTGGAGAATGTTTCGCAACAATCCTGTCGCCGCTGACACCGCCGGCTACTGTTCGATCTGTTAATTTCGCCTATACTTTGTGCTGTGATAAGGGTGGTTCTTAACGCTTCGGAAAGTAGCGAATTTTCCACGGAACGGTGACAAGAAAATCCGGCTTTTTTTCGCTTGTTATTTTCGTGATGTCATCTCAACAAGTACGTTTCCTTCCCTGAATACACGCTTTGCTCGGCACACAGCAGGTTGAGTTGGTGTACTCACCATTGAACAGCGGTAAAAGCGCAATGAGCAGCACCCGACACGGAGGACAACACACTTAGAAAGACCCTATCCACCCGGCCTGCTGTTTCCAGTTTTCAGCAACAACAGGCTCAGGGCAGAGTGTCGCAACCTGGGTGTTGCTTGCGATTTCTTCAGTTTGCCAGCTCATTTTCCACGGTTGCGACTCCCATCTTTGACCACCACCTGCCCAAAGGTAGACGAGCTCAACAATCATAGGGCGGCCGCCGCGCTGACGGCCAGCATCATATAGATCGCCAACCCGAAAGAATTAGCGTGTCGGAGGCCCTGCTGCTTTTCTGCTGCGTGGTGCCGTGGATTGATGTTGACGTGTCCGACCAAAAAGAGAACATACATCTCGCCGCATTTTTTCCAACGGCACTTTCGTGAGGTGGCACACGTCTCTCACACACCTTATTGAGCAGCACCAAAGCACCCAATACCCACGAAGCAGTACGGCGCCGGGAGATGGTATCATATATAGACAGCCGAACCGAAGGAATCAGCGCGTTGGAGGTCTTGGTACTGCTGCTGCTGTACCCGTTCTACTACTGTTTCCGAGTTTGCTATGTGTGATTGAAAAAAAAATCCCCGGCACCAACAGCAGCAGTTGAAGACGAGAACACCAAGCAATGTCTAGGTTTGGACCAAAAACGGACTGAACGCCGCTTCTGCCGGTTGTCCATCTCCACAAGAGACCTGGACGTGAGTCTCGCAGGTCTTTCTTCTAGCGTTCTCGGTGATGATGTTACAGCAGTGCCCGCGGTGCACTTGTCCGATGCTTCTGTCAAAAAAACGGGTCCGTGAAAGTAGCAAGCCCCGAAAAATCCCGGGTCCTTCTTTTCACGTTTCCGGGGAAAACGCCTCCGTATATGTTCAAGAAAACACACCTCCGTGAAATGTTGCGTGTTTTTTTTGTCGTTGAGAACCACCCTTAACTGCATGTTCTACCGCCAAGCAGTTCATATTGTGTACACAGCTGTAGTCATGAAATAAAGTGTTTACTGTTTCTTTCTGTTTTGATCCCGCTACAGCATTAGTTTGGCATGATCTCCTCGCAATTTTGGTAATTTGTTACGTACAACACGTGCGCCAGATGCCCAGTACGGGTGGTTCGTGCATGTGTCGAGGATGGTTCGTGCGGTCTCGCCGTGTTCTTATTATCCACCAAAAAAGTCGAGGGGGGTGGGCATATTTTCTGCCCCCGCGGCGCCCCCTGGGCCAGGCAATCGCGGGCAGGCGAGCCGCGACCTTCTTGCTGTGCACACGTATGCTCTGAGAAGCCCGCTCAGAAATGTCCACCATGGAGGAGGAAAAGGCAGCTGCTGGTTCGAAGGTAGATGCCGGGATCGTTGCAGAGCCCTTCCGACAAGAGGTGAGGGCTGCGTTGTCTCAGGTGCTCCAAGCGCACGGCTGCTATGTATAATAGTCTCTGTCGACCGTCGTGGCGCCGTTACTCTGTCATGTTCGATGGATATCGGCGTAGAGCAGGTAGCCGGGGGGAGTAATGCACATGTATCTGGCATATCTTAACTCTCTTTGCCCGTTTGAAACGCGCTCTGGCCTCTCATCCAAGGGTGACGTGTTGGGTCGGCTTGGTGTGCTACACATGCTGCGTACAGTCAGCATCAAGGTGTGCTGGTTTGAACATAGGATGGGTTGGGTTACACTTACGGATCACGACGCCTTGCCCTTCCCGCTGCCGCTGTGCGCGAGGCGTTATGTAGATTGGACCAGCAAGAACATGTCGTTGGAACCACATGTGGCGTTCTAGTTTAAAGTGCAAAGCGGCCATGTTTTGGGCTTAGGGTTAGGGTGACCGGACGCTTCGGCGTCAATAACGTCAACCTTAGCGTTTGGAATACCGCCCCTCCATTCTTTGTACACATCTCGAACTTTGGTTGTAATTTCTGCTTGTGGTTTTCCTGGGGAAGACGAAATGCCCTCTGTTGCCGTACACTCTTCAATCAGGTAGTTTTTGTTCGTGCGAAGCAGCAGAAGTGCCGGCAATGGAGAGGATCTGTCTAGACGTCTGGCTTTTATGTTATGTACTGCTGTACATAGATCTACTGCTGTTACGAAACAGGAACCCACGAACATCAACCACAAGGACAACATCAACACACCAAGCATAACATACAGCGAATCGCTGGTTCCATGCACGGCGGCCAGCTTGACAGCCATTTGACTTGCTCTGACCGAAGTACGCCAACAGACTTGCTGTAACGCACTTCGTTGACTACCAGCAAGCGACCAGCAGGGTATGGCAATACGGCGTCGGCGCCTGCTACAGTACATACTTGCAATACACCACTACGAAAAATTCCTGCGCAAGCTGAACGCATGGCCCGATCGAGGAAACGAGACGTGAAGTTTTCGATGCACACCAGTGCGAGAGATCGCTTCCCACACCCACTGGGGGTGCAAACGGACGTGATGAATGATTCCAGCAAGTTCCACCCCCCACTCAGCAGCCCCTTGCAGTTTGGTCCCGGCCAATGAACAATAGGTAGTCTAAGCGTGGTCCCGACCTTGTAATGGCCTTGTCTCTGCTTGCGTTGTGAATGTACCAAGATTGAACCAAGGGGGTGTACCTCATTCTCTCCTGCCCGTGATGGTGACTCCTAGTCTCAGTTGTTACCTCGCATAGCGCACAGAGGGAGTGGAGGACTCCAGAATATCTGTCGTTGATTTCTATTGACTTGCGTACCCCTCGGGGCCAGTTTATTTGAGTGTATTTTTATGGTAAGTTAGCCTGCGACCACGGGAATCGACCGCGTCGAGTTTTTTATCAATACAGACATACGAAGGTACTGGGTAGAGAGAGATCGGACCGGTTTTTGATGTGACGACAACAACAACAACAACAACAACAACAACAACAACAACTCTTGCTGCAGGTACCCTTGTCTTGCTTTATAAGCTACGGTCCCTTTTGTTTTGTTTCAGACATGACATGACATCGAGTTACTCTCTCCACCTGTCGCCGACACAAAGCGGAGGATATAGTCTAGTGTGGTCAGGCATGAACTTTTGGTGATGGAATATTACAATCTCACTGTCTGTCTGTCCGTCTGTCTGCCTGTCTGTCTGCCTGTCTGTCTGCCCGCCTCTCTGTCTCTCTCTCTCACGCTCTCAGGTGAGGAAGTACATCGAGGAAAAGCTCGGTGGAGTCGGCCCTCGCTTCGTGGGCATCCTGGCTAACACCGACCCCGCTGCCCGCAAGTACGCGGAGTGGACGGGCCGGGCTTGCATCAAGGATGGCATCCGCTACGAGGTATGGCACGTATGCAGGTCCAGGTAGGCGCCCCAGTGGACCTTCCTCCACATGGATAAGATCGACGGCAACGTCTTTACAGTACCATGGATGACGTATGATACAACACCCCTTGGACCGTTTTCAAAGCTCTCGACTGCTCCTCATCACAAATGTATACATTCAATTGACACGTTGTCGGAAGGCTCTCGAACGAGACAGGCGATCCCGACGCCGCAACTTTCGGCACAGACAGCAGTTGTGCTACAGGGTACCAAATCAAGCTTCGAATATCGGCCCAGGGGGTGTGTTATATTGGGCAACGTACGGTATGCTCAGTCCCTTTCGTCGCGGAACCTCTTTGCTCAACTCAGGCGGTGCTGTTTTGATTGATGTTTTCGTCTACATGTGCGGGGCAACTGATATGCATCCCCGGTTGCCGACGGTGTAGCTGTAAAGGTGCCCAGATGGGGATCCTACGGGTGGGCATGGCATACAAGTTGGTCCTCCAGGAGGTGTTTGCGTTTTTCCTCGTTCTTTCACAGTCCACACAAGTTTCATGTCCGTCAGCGTCCAGGATATGTCGCCGATGAGATCATCTGGTGTGGCATCACCAATCTTTCTTTCTACCCTTCCCCATGCGACATTCAGAGACATTTCCCCTTTCGGGTAATCGTTTCTCCGAACGAGAAGATGCTGGAAAATTCTGGCGTATGTGACGGCCACACTTCATCGGTGTACCGGCCAGACTCGTTATTTGGAGCAGAGTCCGTTACGGCAGCAGCAGTTTGAAGGGCTTCTTTGTCGATCGAGTGCTTGTCAATGCAGCAGTTGATCGAGTGCTTGTCGATGCACGGCGATCACAACGAAGATGATGACGTCACGTGCAGGTGCGGGAGTGCGATCCCGAGGAACTGGAGGCGCGTCTTGAAGAATGCAACGGCGACCCGGAGGTACACGGTAAGTCCAAAACGTCAATTTTACTGTCAAGTTTTTTACAAGTATCCACCTCTCAAGCCGTTCTTACTCGCCGAACGAATGATTGTTCGAGTTGATGCACGTCGGTGCGGGTGCGACGCACAAAGAATCAGACGTTATCCGTTCTCGAAAACATCGGAGTGCTGTACTACAAAAAACTACGGATTTTGGAACTGTTCCGGCCTGAATCTTCTTGTGTGACTTTCCGGCACAGCCTCACACACTACGAACATGTGCGCAAACAGAACGGTCCCGCAGTTTCGAAATATTGTGTAAGCAAACATAAGACCCTAAATCTCACGGAACATATGAAAATACCAGGCTAAGAAACACGGCTCAGCTGTGGATCCTACACTAAAAGCTATACTGAGAAGCTGAGCCTCGACGTTTCTTATCCGGTGGCTCGTTGTGTACCATCGCCACGGGCGTCTTTCTACCCCCTCAGGAGTGATGATCTACTACCCCGTGTTCGGAGCATTCCCGTCGTTTTTCGGCGGGAGCATGGACGACTACCTGAGGGACACGGTGTCCATCCGCAAGGACGTCGAGGGACTGTCCAACACGTACCGGAGAAACCTTTACCACAACGTCAGGTAAGTTGTACACGTTTGACGTCGTCACCATGGCGGTAGATGGTCCCTCATGCAAGCGATGCATCTTTTACCGCCCTCTGCGTCGTGCGTAGGTGTGTGTGTTTGTGGCATCGACAGCGCTAGCTGGTGATTAATGAGAAGACCCTAGTCTCAGCGTGGTTGAAAACAGCAGCACATGCTTCGAAAGACCATGATCTAGGACCCCACCGTGAATGGGCTCATTTCTGTCTGTGTGCGTGTGGCTTTTCGCGTCTGCTCTTGTGTAACGCAGCCGAGCAGATCGACTGCATCTAGGAAAATATTACTATATATCACGAAGAAGCATGTTGTTTTAACGAAACACTGATGCTGCTGTAGCGCCCGAGCCACGCCTTCGCTGCCAGTACTTCTCCGGAAACTGGCGCGAAGGAATGATTTGGAACAAATACATACGCTTGGCCGCATGACCAAAAGGTTTGTCGATGAGGCCAAGACGAAGAAGTGCATCCTGCCGTGCACGCCCCTTGCCGTGGTTAAGATTATGGAGCACGTGGGCGTCTACGACGAGAGCCTACCCGTGGGAGACCGCCTTCAGGGTGAGCTAGCCGTCTCTGCTACATAGTCCCGGTAGCCTTCGCAGGAGGTTTTTGAACGCAGGCTTCGGTTTCAGAGCGCAGCCAATGGTAAGAAGCGTAGTATCTACGCTCACCGTTGCGCTCTAAGCCTCGAGCCTGATGATGGGGGCGCGGGAGGGTCGTACGTGTTTGTTTGTTTGTTTTCCCATGGGTTTGTTCCGACCAATGGCTATGATGTCAACACCGTTGAGAGAAGACGTTAGTCTTTGCCCTGATGTAGCTCAATCTCGCTTCCTTGCCTTAGGAACTGGGCTGGGTAAGGTTTCACGTATGACCTCTTGCGATGCGTTCATCGATCGATGTGTACCACCCCCCAGAATCTCCCCCAATGATGAGGGGGGGGGGATCTTGTGTATGATAATGAATTAGTCGAAATTATGCATGCAGGACTCGAGGGTATTTCGTACGTTTTGGCAAGAAACGGAGTCAGTTTTGGTTGGTCAGAAAATGGATCGTACTTGGAGCAGGCGGAAATCAATCGCACGTACTTCAGAGGGCCGCAGTCTGTGCCCACAGGATTGGCTTGAAGGTGGCGAGGTGTGCAGGCCGCTTGCAACTAATGTAGAAGGCCCTGACCCAAATTGAACAGAGTAAGAACTTGTCTGTTGATGGCAAGAGTCGTTGAACATGGCGTATGTGTGTGAAAGCCTCTTTGGGCTGTTGTGCTTGGGGTTAAGAGATGCTGAAAATGGGCCCCGTCCAATCAGGAGTGATGCAGTGTAGCAGCATCGCCAGGCAGGGCCGGCACTCATCCTTGTCGTACCACTCAACCATACCACGAGACCGAACACTTGTTATTCGGTCCACAGGACATGGACGCACCGACCGACAGAAAAATCGACTCCACCCGCAGGCCACGACGCAACGTGACGAACAAAAACACTAGTACTGGTAGTATTTTTTCAACCCATTTCCAGGAGACGCCCGGCCAACCTCGACCCCCCCACCCCCCCCCGAAAAATACAAACGTAGGCAAGACGGTGACGATCATCAACCGTTCAGAAATCGTGGGCCGCCCGCTGGCCGCGATGTTGGCCAACGACGGAGCGACGATCTACTCGATCGACGTCGACTCCATCTTTGTCTTCAAGAGGGGGGCGTTGCGCAAGACGGAGGCTACGCCGGAGGAGGCCGTGAAGCAGAGCGACGTCGTCGTAACGGTGAGTGGACTAGATGTCATCGGGCTGTACCATGGTACTTACTGTACCTGGTGGTGCTTTGGGCGGGCGGGCTGCGCGTAGGTGCCACGATATATTGTTCCGTTATGGGGTGACCAGCATGATACCGGGCATCTGCACGATTCAGAAAGGGAAATGTTGCCGGTTTTTGGTTTTAATCGGGATGGATACTCGTGCCATACAGATATGACCGGCACTATTCCAGACACCGGGACTGTTCAGAACAGAGATATACAGGTTTTCTATGGGGTGGGACACCCGTGCTCTAAGATTTGACCGCCACTATTCCGGACAAGTGCACGAGTCAAAACAGGGATACACAAGTCGTTGGGGAGGACACTCGTTTCCCAGAGGTTTGACCGGGACTATATACCCGGCACCGGCACTATTCACCCGACCACATCGGGACACCTACTGCTGTATGTCGACTTCGACCGTGTTTGTGGTGGCGGTGTCCCGTTGGTGTTGTTTCTTTTGTTTCTTTTGTTTCTGGAAGGGTAGGTGTTGTAGTTGTTTCAAACCAGCCTGGAAACAGGATGGTGGCGACTGCAAGTGTTGTGCAGAAAATGTCCAATGTGAGACACGCCAGACGTCAACAGTGATACCACCACCACCTCTAGTCATCAGCCTCAACACGAAGAAGATCAGCCACTGTGTCGACGGTGGTGCCTGTTTCTCGACAAAAGCTGCAACGATACGTTTCTACCTCCATTGTCCTGTAGAAGCATTCGGAGCCTGACGCTTCAGAGCAATTTTCATCCGAAGAGGAGATGATCTCTTCCTCTCGCGACTTTCGGTGGTTGACGAGGGCCTTGCGTTCTTCCGTCGCCCTCCCCGCCTACCAACCAACGCAAGGCCTCTGTCAAAGTCCGCAAGCCGCGAGATGAAAGATCATTGTCGTGTCCGATGACGATGATTCTGAACCTTCTTCCTCCACACGCGTGGTGTTGGAGGTAGAAACTTACACACCAGAATGTTGCCAACCACAAGACAGGTACTGCCCTTCTAAATGTTGGCCGACATTGTATTTGGGGCTATCGTTTCGTTGTGGTACAGTGGCGGTTTAACTCTTGCCGTTCAGGAGTGAATCATTCATTGCCAGTGAACCGTTGTGTGTCTCGATCTGCAAAACGTGCTAGATACTCGCTCGTTTCCTTCTCTCCCAGCTTTCGCTCAATAAATGGTTACATCCATTCAACGCGTTCTTATGTTTTCTGTGAGTATGGCACAGCCGCAAGGAAGGGCTCGACGGTTGAATGCGTCCGTATTTTCGTACCTAGGAGATCCGTTTCGTCGTTAGAAACACGCACTGGGCGAGCGGTTCGTATGAGCGGCAGGTGAGTATCCCTTCCCCCCCACCTCTCCTTCGCCTCCCTGCTTCCGCCATCAAACAACGTTGATATGCTTGCCTTTGCACATTGAAAACCGTTACGGTCTCCGCGCAATACGTATTGATATGCGCTGGTCGAAGTGACCCAAAGAGGGGTACACCTTTCTACAACGAAAAAAGAAATGGATGTGGAAACTAGGATTTAAGTATCTTTCTAGAGGTAATGGCGCACATGCGACCAGCGAAGATCGCCGGAATACATGAACAATGTTCTACCCGTCCGAAGGCATTTGCCAGGGAAGAGTTGCAGAATACCGTGACCATTCATGTGACTCTCGGAGATGGGCCCAAGCCCACGAAGGCACCTCCTCTCTCACTTGCACCCCTCTTGAACTGGAGAGGCCTACCAACGTCGACCACGCTGGGCAATTCCTCCCCACATGTCACTAGGAGACGAAAACCTCCGCCGGTGAACGGTGAACACACCACCTCAGAAACCCTTACTCTGCAACAGAGAAAGGGTGTTCTAGTCGGCGATTGACGAAAGCTTGTCGCGGGATAGTAGTGCAGAATATGCCTGTGAAAAGAACAAAAAAAACAGCCCCGAACGAGAAAGAGACGAAATCTCCCCCTTGGCCTGCTGACCACGGGTACACACCCCGGTTCTCAGCCAGGGCTAAATCAAAAGGCTCGTCTGCCTCGGAGCCACCTCCGATCGCTTGCGCAGCGGAGGCGTCGGTCAGCACCTCTGCTGCCGCTGATTTTTAGCGGGTCGGCCGGACGGATCAGAGACAGCAACAGCAGCTTCCTGCCGCAGTTGTGTCTTCCTGGCCTTTTTCTTTTAGCCCTGGCTGAGAACCGGGCTGTGAACAATTGGTCAGCAGGCTAAGGGGGAGATTTCGTTTCCTTCTCTTTCAGGGCTTGTTTTTTTTGTCGTTTTCACAGGCATGTTCTGCGCTACTATCCCACGACAAGCTTTCGTCAATCGCCAACTAGAACACCCTTTCTCTGTTGCCGAGTAAGGGTCAATAACGTGCCCCTTCACCAGCGGAGGTTTTTCGCACTTGTTGCAATGTGGCGAGGAATTGCCCAGCGTGGCCGACGTTGGTAGGCCGTCCTAGTTTTAGGAAAGGTCGCATGGGAGAGTTAGCCTCGGGGACACCCTTTCACCCTCCAGCTGGTCACGGCAGGCGAAAATCTTTATTTGTGAACATCTTCAGACCCCGAGAACGTCGTTCGTAGGGTTTCGTGCGTCACTAGCACTATAATGGGAAGATACCTCATCCTGGTTCGCACGTATTAGACCCAGAAAGAACTCCTCCAAACGCGATAGCGAAACGTGCGAAGGGTTTTTTGTGGATGGTTTTGACGCGGATTGTGTCTGCCCCCACAGGGGGTTCCGTCCAAGGCATACAAGCTCCCCGCTTCATGGCTAAAGGAGGGATCCGCGATAATCAACGTTAGCACCTTCAAGAACGTGGATGAGGAAGAAGTGTTGAAGGTTTGTGCTGAACGTGGTGTGAGTCGTGGTTGCGTGCCTTTGGTGTGGTTTTCCTTCTGCCGTGTTGCTTCAGCTGTGTTCGCAATGTGGCTCTTTTTGTCGACATCTCGATCCTGGTTTGATGGAGTGAAAGGAACATTGGCTGTGTCATACTAGTTTGCCTTTTTCGAAGACGGTCAATCTGGATCGCTGTTCGATTTTTGAAAGACGAAAAATTGTTCGATGCTGTCTGGGCCGCTTCATGGTAGCATCAGCATACGAGGTCCCAGGTCTGTCAGCGATGTGGGTTATTTGTTTGATTTGCAATCCCTTTGTTGCTGTGGTTTCCCCCCCAATACCGCCAACGGTCTGACAAGAAGACATGTATAATATGAGTATCCCCCCCCTCCATTCATTGTCCTTATCCCTGCCCTCATACCGTTGTTTATCCTTCTCCGTAATCCTGGCCTCCCTCCCGCCTTTGTCCTGGTGATGCACGATGTGGACCCGTCCCTCCCTGATGAAGATACCGGGTGTCCGGTACGTGCCGATGGTCGGCAAGGTAACTGTCGCCATGTTGGAGAGGAACCTGCTGCGCTTGCACGAGAACTTCGGAGAAGGTGTGTGATCTATGATCTACGATCTACGATATACGATCTACGATCCACGGACCTAGACGAACATGGGACGAAACTGTCCCAGCCTTGCCCAGCGCTGCTACCTCACCCCTCCCGTCCCTCCGTCCCTCCGTCCCCCCCGGTGTTTGCCTTCGGGGTTGGGTTTTCGTAGCTTGGCAGCGATGTTGTAAAACAAGCTGATCACTTCGTGAGCTCAGCAACCAGGTTACTGCTTTGTTCTTGGCCCTGTTTTCTTTTTTTGCGGTAACCATGAATGGTGGTCAAGCAGATTGTGTTGTGCGGGGTCGAGAAGCCTCACTCAGCGCAAAGGGGATAATCGCACGTTGTGTTAAAATGGTCAAGCACCCTCGAGGCAGTTACACGGCGCTTACAACTGTCTCTGGAAGTGAAAGCACCAGAAAATAAATTAAGTCATACGCAGCTGTCATTCGTACGCAAGGAAGTAAGCACAAGATGCCGAACACCCTTAGCAGGATGCAGCGCATCCGTCATGCGACTAGCCGAAAAGCTCACGGCGCTTCGCGCTTGGTGATGTGAGAGCCTGGTCCGGTGAGAACCCGGCGTGCTCCGNCCCCAAAACAATATCGGGCGCAGGAAGGAACAAGGATATGCACACATGTTTATTTTTGCGTTGATATTTTTTGCCACCCGCTGAGTGCACGAGACCTCTGCAGAATATAGTTGGAGGCCCGGCTCTGTCTGGCAATTCATTCACACTCGACCTCCCGATGTGTTCCCCCCTTGTTGTGTTGGTGGATCTCTCCATCCGCCCGCGCGCCGCCTGGAGGCCATACCCCACACGACGCGTCCTCACCAGTGAAATTTGAAATGTTGATGGGATTTCCACGAAAAATGAGAAAAGTGGGGTACGAAACACGGCTCGGCTTTGGATAATCCACTAAACTCTATTCTGAAGGCCTCTGTGTAGCGTACACTCTCAAATCTATGTTCGGTTTTGGCCCCAGGTTCATACTAGTACCCTGTGCTCGACAGTGGCGATGAAACAAAGAAACTGAGCCTCGAACCCGATTTTGAAGTTTGTTCCTGATCTCCGGGCTCGTTCTGGATGTCTTTCGCTCAAGGCGACTCGCTTGATTCGCCGTCCTTCAGAATTCGGGGGACCCTGTCTCTTGAGGACCGTTCCTGGCTACGTAGCTCTTCAGCTGTGCCTTCCAAACGTTTTGGTCGCGTTGGTATCCATCCCGGCCTGTCGAAACCCCCTTCTAGGGACAACAGCCGTTTGGGGCGTCCAATCACCGTCAAAACTTGTAGAATGCGGAAGGTCAAACTAGGGAAACTCGTGTCGCAGTTGCTCTCTTATGTTTTGGTCGTTGATACCTTGTGGCTAACAACTCATGTTTTCTCCCGACCCCCGCATTGTCTAACTTGGGGAATTCATGTCGCCTGTGTGTCTTGCCATGTGGTCGTGGTGCATTTCCCATGGCTAACAACTCATGTTTTCTCCCGACCCCCGCATTGTCTAACTTGGGGAATTCATGTCGCCTGTGTGTCTTGCCATGTGGTCGTGGTGCATTTCCCATGGCTAACAACTCATGTTTTCTCCCGACCCCCGCATTGTCTAACTTGGGGAATTCATGTCGCCTGTGTGTCTTGCCATGTGGTCGTGGTGCATTTCCCATGGCTAGCAACTCATGTTTTCTCCCGACCCCCGCTGGCGAAAACGTGTGGGGCAACAATGACAACACCTCGCAGACATGGCCGCGGAGACGCTGGTGAAGCGAACCAGCATCGATGCGGGTTCCAGCCAGGAAAAGCCACAAGAGGCTTCGGCATAGCCGATCCTTGGATGGCGCTTGTTGGTGGCCTTCTGTCGACAGCGCTCCCGCACCACCGCAGTTCAGGAGTTGCATGGGGGATTGAAGTAGGAAGGAAGGAGCCATGAGTGGGGAGTTTCGATTGGACAATTGTGACGTTCAAGGAGTGATTGTTCGATGGGGCAACGAAGGGGCAAAACGTCTACAGGACTCAGGCATCGTCGTGGGAAAAGGCTAGTCGTAGCTAATACGCGTCGCTGAAGCTTGCCCGACTCGAAGTTCTCTCTTGTGTATAACGGAGCCGCTGCAATGTTCATGAGACCGTTGCTACCGGATTTGAAAACAATGCCATTGATTTGTTCGGCGGTTTTTTGTGTCGAACGGCCTGTTCCGTCCGTGCAGGAGCAAGGCGTAGCCCGGGAGAGGGGGAGTTGATTCACCGTGATGTAGTCGGGACGATTCCGCACAGAGCCTTGACCCTTTGGCCTGTCAACTTCTGTGTGTTTTGAACCTGCGATCAAGAAGCTGCGTGTTTCGAACCTGCGATTACGTAGTGAGCTCGATGCGGGAGTCTAGTGAACTGTTGGTTTCGATTTTGTTTTCGTTTCTCGCGTATGGGGTAGTTATGCAGGAGGCACTCGACACGAGAAGAGAGGAAAATTGGCCTACCAGCCTCCCTCCTCTCTGTCAGCTCAACGATAAGAATGGCGCTTATTTCCAGCACCGCGTGGGACCCACTGTTGGCGAGGGCTAAAGTACGTCAGTGCGCTTCTTCTCTGTTCTTTTGGGCGCAAAAAAAGCGTGTTCATAGTCATTCTTTCGATGTGTGGTCGAGGAAAAAGAAAACAAGAGTGGAAAATCATTGAGAAAACTTGCCATCAATAACTCACTCATACGTGAATGTTCTCGTCTTAGAGTCGGTTGCGAATAACAGAACGAGCCACAAGGTTGGCATCGGCAGGGAGCTTCAAACTTGGTGACGACTGCCCTACAGAACGAGCGCACGCATGATACGCGTGGTGTTTGAAAACCCCAAAAAATGTTCCATGTTGTAGTATGTGTATGTGTGTTTTGTCGCCCGAACCGTCCGCACCACTGCGTCAAACATTGTCGCTCACGTCTGCTGCACCGCTGGGTATAACATTCGACCCCTCACGCCATGAACACTCGATAAAGAGCGAAACATGTAAACAAAAAGGGAACACCATCATGTCGTGTCATCCCGTGCCAAAGCGGCCAACCCTCAAAACTTCATCCAAGGAAAGTTATAGTACGCCCACCAAATCTGGCCTTTCTTGTAGCGAAAAATACCGTGACCCCCGAATAGACTTTTTGCAAAATGCAAGCAAACCCGTTTCACCCACTCCTCCATTTGTCTATAATACTGGGGTCCGGTTGTCAGAGCCCTCACGTCGCGTGAAAAATGCGCGCGCATATGTTATGTTTGGGTGAGACTACGTCTTGTTCTCCTTTTGCAACGAACGACTATGATACAAAAAACACTTACGACTTGTTACAACGACATAATAAATCGCGGCGGCATCTACAACGGTCAATAAAACCGCGGTTCATCACGCTTGTTAAAGACAACAGCCCCCGCCCCCTGCCCGATAGTTATCTTCACGCCCTCAACAATCCTCCCCAAAAGGTCGGTCGCGTCTTCTTCGTCGCGCAAGATCCGAAAAAAAATTAGAAACCGAGGCCGACAAAAACAGAAAAACTCCACCGCGCGGCCGGCGTAGGTTACTTGAAGAGTGTCGCCGCACCACCTGGAGGAGCTGGGCGTCGTCTGACGTGAGACGGATGGGGCAATCTTTCCGAATACATGAACCACGGGACGGAGAAAATCCGGGTAAAACAAAGTTTAGAACTCGAACGAGAACGCCTCGGTGTCGAAGAGCTTCCAGTCGACCGCGCGGGACTCAGCGAGCACGCCGTCCACGAGCGAGTTGGGTCCGCTGGTCAGGACCCTGACGGACGGTGTATTGCTCTTTTTGGCGAGCTCGGCCTCCTGGATCAGGAGGGCCTTCGTGGGCACGCGGCCCGGGGTGACGTCGTAGGTGACGCTGCCGACGCCGGCCACGGTGGAGGACTCGAGGTCCATCTTGGACTCCTCGCCGACTCTGGCGGAGCGCCCGCCGATCTAAAACGAATGGCGTGGATGATGTTTACGGGGGTGATGGTTGAGAGTGAGCGGCCGCAATAACGACGGTGTGCGATATCGAGGCGAAAGAATGAGCAGATACAGTAGGGGGCTGTCGAAGTAGTGCAATATTGTCCATGTCTATCAGAAGAAGAGGAGGTTACCTCGAGTTAAATGAACACAGCGTCAAAATATTGTAGGTTGCGACAAAGCGAAGGGTAACGGTTACAGAGACGAGATCTAGCAGTATTCTGAACCAACCAGAAATGATGGCTGCGCCCGCCCCTCGGGGATGCTTCGGCGTTGTCCACGGAACACAAGCAGCACCTGACTCGATCCTGATATTGATCAATTCTCGATCACGCTAAAGATGACGTGACGGACTTCGCGAAAGCGTAGCACCACCGCGTACTGCCGTATCGACCAAAAAAAATCAAGGAACAGCTTGCGTACTCCCATGTACCTGCGATGCTTCGGCGCTGTCCACACCCTTGCCGAGGAGGTGCTTGCGGACCAAGAAGAAGAGCCAATCGTACACGATCAGGGAACTGATGATGCAGATCACCATGAGGACGAAGATGATGGCCCCCTCGTGGAACACATTCATCAGGTCCCGTCGGTCCACCTCCCAGTAGCCCAGGATGTATCCCGCGAAGGCGGCGAGACCTGTCATGTAATATGCATGGGTGGCACCGTGGGAAGGCCTGTTTAGTGCCGGTGCCTGGTACTGTGCTGGTTTGTTGGCCGGCACAGAGTGGAATAACCAAAGTCATTCTGGACTTTGAATAATACTGCCGGTGTCCGGCCAATTCTCTGAGCACCTGACGGAACTACACACCGAACTACTAATAGCCTATTTGTCTGCGTGGAGGACCTCGGCTCACACTTACTACCGCATTTTACCTCCCACGCATGTGGTCGCACACAACAAAATGTCGTTGTTGTTTTTCCGGGGGCCTTTCGTCCGAATCGGTAGTGCGTGGGGCATTACAGGGGGGACAAACACAATCAAGAAACCCCATGAGATGGCCACCACATTGCGTTTGGCTTCACACGGTGTACAAACATTATCGAGTATCGTAACGCGCTAGCACCGACATATTGCTGGGGCTACATGGTGTACACACACAATCAGGTGTTGACGTGCTGCTTTCTCACCCGCCACGATAACGCGAACGCTGTGGTTGAGACTGGCGGCGACGTGGCCCGTGCCAATGACGTTATCCTGGGTGCTGGTGTGGGTGTAGGCGTTCGCGTCCAGGGGCCACGTCACGGTGAGAGATTCGTTGCTGTCAGCCTTTGGTGATGTTGGGCAATTGTTTCGTAATCGGTGTTGAGGCGTAGAAGTTTCAGTAGAGCCAGAGCGCCGGAGAGCGAGAGAGAAGGAGCGCGCGAGAGAGAGACGGTGAGAGAGAGACAGAGACAGACAGACAGAGAGGGAAGGAAACGTGAGAGTGAGGTAGGCGCGATTTTCACGTTTCTAAATGCATATTCTAGCGAGCGTCGATGCCATGTTTCGAGCCACAGCAATGAAAACCCAGCAAGGGTTCGCCTACTTTTCCAACGACCCTTTAGTGCGACTGCATTGAGAGTAGCTGTGCGTACCCACAACGACAACGCCTTGATCGCACCTACCTATCTCGCCGCTGCAGAGTACATTCACGGCACCGGGTGACAGAAGCTACGAGGAAAACCGAGAACATCAACAACAGTAGCTCAGCAGCACACACCTTGCTGCTGCTGCAGTAGAGGGACATGGAGAAGTGCGTGTCCTTCTTGCTGCCGGCGCTAGCGAGCACGGAGGGGAGGCACTCGCCGACCAGTTCCATCTCCGACATGTACCGGCAGCACCAGGCCAGCTTCACCTCCGGAACGTCGGCGCCTTCCCTTGCGGCGACCGCCCAGTCCTGGGAAGAGGGTCGGGACCGAGGGGGCGCATTGTTCATGAGCGTCGCCTATGTGTGAGGTAGTATGGCCGGCGCTGCCCAACCTCTTTGAGAACACAAACGTAGGCTTTCGGTACCGAGCTGTCGCCGTAGACTTTGTATTCCAACTTCCGATCCCCGGGAATGGGACTGCCGCCAGAACACCCTCGTACCCTCTCACCTGGATGAATCCCATGAGAGAAGTCATCCCCGACCCCCCGGCAACCACAACGACGCGCGACGCCCCCCCCGCGACCTTCATGGAGCTGAACGACTGGACCTGGGTGTAGAAGCCGTCCACGTCCACCAGAAGCGAGCGAGCGTCCCCCGCGGCTTCCGCGCCCCGTGCGGTGTCCCTCAGAGCCTTCGTCCATTTCCCGAGGTCCTTGATGTACACGGTGAAGACGTCGTTCTCGTCCTCCTGGGCGGCGCTGTTGTTGCCGCTCGAGAGTTTCGCCGCGTGTGAGAAGGAAGGGGGGGCTCCGCGGAGTGCAACGGTGAAGGCGTGGGCCTCGTCGGTGCCGAGCGCGGCGGGGACGCTGATGTACACGAAGGATCCCCCACGGGCGGACCTGTCGCCGCTGTCCCCAACGCCGCCGGTCTTGGGGTTGCGGAGCACCAGCCGCGTGTAGTTGTCGTTCGTCACCACGCTGACGAGGCTGGTCGGGCTGGCCTTGCTGGGGTCCGCGCTAAACCATCGGTTCCAGTAACGCCACCTGAGCGGGAGCAAGGGAGGGGGAAAGGGGGGGCATTTGATTCGGAGAGTGGATGAGGTACTTGTGAGCAGCAGGTCACATGACTCGAACATGCCAGGTATCGTGTATTTAGAAGGAAGAAGGACGAAATAGCTCATCCACGGAATATGTTGAGCGAGAGCACTGACGCTTTGCCTAGGCACCACGCAGTACGAATGAATATGTGTCGAAGGATAGGCGCGAGGCATGGATCGAGCTTGGGGAGGATGGCTGAAAATCAGGTCGACATTCTTCCTATCAGTCTCGGTATGCATACGCTTCGTTCGTCGTGAAGCTTCCATGCCATGACGCACGAACGCGGTCAAGGAACAACAATCGCACGGTCAAGGATGAACCAATGTCTAGCGGAGGGAGGGAGGCCCCATCATCGGCACAACAGGAGAGAGCACTAAACTCACCGCTTCCACGACTCCAATCTCGACAGCACGTGCATGATGTACAGCGTCAACCCGCCCAGGAAGTAGAGCGCGTTGGGAGCCCACTGAAGGGCAGGAGTGAAGCATCAACAAACAATCACAGACGGCGATACAAACAAGAGAGAACCTTCGGGATAACTGCCACCACAGGTGAGAGCAGGTATTGGTAAATGAAGTCCGCATGCTAGAATCAATTCCTACTTGTTGCAAGCGACCACTGAATGAAATGTTGAGTGAGAGGACCACCGGTCCCCAAACACATGTGCACGGTGAAACTACATGAACGAGGGAATTCAGGCGGGGGCCCACTTCAATGTTGTCAGAAGGCAAATGCTTTCTGCCCCAGAAAACACAAAAAAGCGGAACGATTTCAATACGTGACTGGATGCACCTAGTCTTAACCCCTATTTCCCGTAAGTAGAGTGAAGGACCATGTCCGGGTCTCGTCCTATACATGCACCAGGCTCACCCCCCCCCTCTCCTTCAACATTATGGTGATACAATGTCATGTACGCACGTGCATGACGCTGAACGCGAAGACGCCGATGAAGAGCCAGTGTGCGAGCTTGAACAGGCTGTAGTACTTTCGCCGGACCCAGTTCACCGAGGTAGCCCACATCGGGATCGCGCAGAGTCCAGCCATCCAACCCATGGGGGTGTCGACGCCTTCGGCGCAAAGAAGGGTCGGAGAAATGGGAGGACAATGTGAACCGTGTGGGAGAGTTGTGTAGTCCTTGGTGCTTCCAAGTGTCGATGAGCGGTGGAACCATAGATAGGGCATGGGGTAGTTTCTGGGTGGGAGGGGCTGGGAAGGGGTCAAGCACTGAAAAGGTTCTGGTGCTTAATTCGTCGTATGTTGTCGCGACCCCTTTATCGTTTTGCGGTGTGACCACGGGTAATGACTATTGCAGGCTCACCGGTGCAGGAAAAACGGAAAGGGGCATGCGACAGGGCACAACATTGGCCGCTGGAATAACCGTCATTGAACCGAGCGGTTTTCCACTACCATATCACCAACAACAACGTCAACAATAAAGACGACAACTCTACCCACGCACCACGTGTACATATGTTCGAGACGAAGATATTCAAGACAGCACCTACTACCGGGCCAGAATGCTGCCAGGTAAGCTCTTGCAGCAATGCCTTCGGACAAGTAGGGCTAGAGGGGTTTCCTAAAGAGCCGTAGGCTTCTACCTCCGTGGGTGTTGGGGTCGAAGTGGATGGACTCGTGGACGGCGTGGCTCCAGCCCTTGTACTGGACCCAGTGCGCCGTCAGGAGGAGGGCGTGGAAAAAGAGGGAGGTGAAGGCTAGGTGGCCGGCGATGGCGTGGTAGAGCACGGCCCGTTCGAACGGTACCCCGAGGGCCGACCAGATCTTGCTGTCGCGGGATACCGGAACCAGGATGATCGCGAAGTGGGAGGAGCACACCAGCCCCATGAAGACGCCAATCATTCTCAATCTGATTTGGCCCGACAACGGGGGCGGATGGTTCAGGCGGAAGGATTGTGGCACATCCGGAAGACGATATCGGTAGTAGACGCGGAACGGAGCGTGAAATGTGGGTCGGAATAAACAAACGCCCAGGGAGGACTTACTAGGATATGAAAGTGAACCAAAGATAGATTCGGATGTGATCAAAACTCGGTACCGGGAACGATACGCACCACAAAAAAAGGTGGACGCCGCGCTTGCTTACATATCAATGCCAACATACGTGAAGTGCGAATGAATGAGTGGGTACACGTGGGCCGTAGTGCTGTACTTTACCATTTTTGTCAAGACTTCGACGCATCCCATTCGACTGTGGTGTCGTCTCGAACGTTTGTTAGTGTTGTGATTGCATTTATCGGGAACTGGGATCGGCACGAACAAGTCGTGCTGCCGAGGAAGGTACGTGTTCTTTGGCGCGGGAAGACAAGAGGTTCGGGAACTCCTCATGTATGTGCAACGTGGCTTGGTTACCGACCGGAACGTGTCTTGATTTGTACGACAAATGGGGCGAATCTTAATTTTTCGTCACTCCCGAGAGACAATCGAATTCACCGATACTACAACGTGGGTTACCAGGTAAGGTACTTGACCACCGGGCGGACGGCATAGTCTGAAGAATTCACTAGGCGACGTCGCGATGCGAGACGTGATTAAAAGGCAACGGAAAAAAAGAGAACAACGAGTTATAATGCCGCGATCCGGTGGCGATCAGGACAAACAATGCACCGCCCTCGGATGGGAAAATCAAAACTTTCTTCCACAATCAACCCTCGACGTAATGATGCCAACACTGCTGCCGCCAACACATCCCGAACGGCATGTTTTTTCGAGCGGGCGGTCTGTTTATTTAGATGCTCGGTCTATACTATCAAGCGGCCTCGCCGTCGGATATCGGACCATCAGTTCGGGTCCATTTCTTGCACCGACGTGGCACCTAAACCGTAGCGGCAGCGCATTTTCGTACATCGTCGATGATTTTTCACTCACACAGTGAATGAAATTACGTCATTTTGTGTATTGACTGGTTGGTGCAAACAGGCTGTCAATCAATACGCGCTCAGTTACAGAGGGGGATTTTTGATGCGTTTACTCTGGTTGTGGTGAACCCTCCTATGCAACAGCAGCACGTGTTTTTCATTCATCCGATGTAGCCTAGAAGCATGAACGATTGATTGATTGAATATTCATTTTGTGCGGCAACGATAGGAGGGTTCACCACAGCCAGAGTAAACGCATCGAAGCCGAAAAAAAAAATATTGTCTTGTCCGAAAAAAATCGAGAACCGAACAAGACGAACTTTACCTGTATTGGTTGGGTGTAGGCCCTCCGGGCTCGAAAGAGAACTGGTTGCACCATTGGGTCGGATCGTCAGGGCACACCATGTAGATATCATGGAAGTGGTTGCCGTGGTTCAGCACGCCTGGAGCGTGACGGTGTCCGTAGCAAGGGAGAGGAGGGCAGAGGACAACAGCACGAAGAGCGGAGAATTTCATTCATACAAATCTGCGTGTCATAGACTACATGTAGACTAGTCTAGATCTACACCCATGTAAGAAAGAAAACCCGCTCGATCGAGAACTTCAATAGAAAACGGCTTTTTGGGTCCCACATTATTGTTTTGTGTGCCGAAAACGTGTGGCTGTATCACATTCTAGCATGCGTGCAGCAACTACAAGATAAACGGAAAGTAATTTCCGGATCCACCGAAAAAAAATACACGACTCGCCGCAGCATCTCGCTGTGACGGCTACCAGCGAGGATTTCGCCAAGCAAAAGCTCAGCCTGGAAGGGGGCGGGGTCGCTCTCTGCACTACTAACCTTGCCAGCACTGGGATCCCATGGCGAGGAGCCACAGGGTAAGCACGGTGGTCTCGCCCACGGTTAGCCACCTGATTGGCCAATGCAGAAAGAAATGTGCCATCAGTAAAGATCGTGGCGCGTGGCGCCCCGACGTCGTTGCGCATTTTTCGTGGCCATGGCCAGGGGCGGGAGCGCACCACGTAGCAGCAGTTTTCTTGAAAAGCACGCGTCGTGGTTATAGCATGTTGACCAGGTGATGGTGACGGGCTTGTTCTCTCTCTCCCCGCGAGCCCGGTGCTGTGTGTTGTTGCGCGATATTTTGTTCGTGGGCGTCGAGGGAGCGGTAGCCATCATCCGTCCATAAACATGTGCATGCAAACTAGACTTAACAGGTTTGGTGTCACACACCTCAACAACACAGGTTTGTTTGTCATAACGGCAGCAGGTGGCGATAGGCTTGTTCGGCTTGGGCTATTCTGTTTCTTGAGGAACTCACGGGGAGAACTGGCCCAAGGGTCGGTACTGGTAGTGCACGACGCTGTGGAGGAACGCCAAGATGCCCGGCTTGCTGTTCTCTTTCTCTCCCGCAGCAGCACTGTCAGGGTGTTCCTGGGTGGATTGGATCTCCCGCCGCTTCCAGAAGGCTTCGTACACCCCACCTAGGGCAGCCGTCAAGATGATCGGGAGGCCGATGAAGATGAACTTGGAGGTGTCGGAGTGCTTGATGTAGAGGTCGGCCGAGCCGTCGAGGTCGGCGTCCTCGCTGTCCAACAGCATCTCGAGCTCGTCGTCGGGGAGGATGGTGCCCTCGTACCACTTGCCGATGGACATGGCCAGGTAGAAGAGGCAATATCCAAGCATGCCGTAGCTGGCAACGCGGATGGCGGTCAGGGCACACCCAATCCCTCCATCGGACCCCATGGTGATGGGCGCAGGGAACGAGTTACTGGCGCAAAAACGGGGCTACCGCAAGGGTGTGCTAGTTGAGAATAGGGGAAGTGATGAGTTGTGTGCGTGAAGGGGTTGTGCGTGCACGGGGCCGGGTTGCAGTTGCGAATAAATGTGTCACGAACCTGTTATTTCCGATTTTTTTTTCGAAGATGATTCAAAGAGCCAAAATCCAACAACCTGTGAACACAAGCTGTTGGTCGCGTCGCACGTTGAATGTTGCTAGATATCTTTTGGAGCCTTGCTTGAGCTTCTTCCTCCAGACTCAGACTGCTGTAGAAAAAGACGAACAAACCTCCACCAGCATCAGCCAAAGATGGGTAGTTGCCGCCTCTGGTTAGTGGATAACATGTGATCGATACTTGTAGAGCTTGCTCGTTGGGTGTAGACTGATGCGTTTCAGCCAAACTGGCGTTGCCTATCAAACCCAACCTCCCTCTCAATTCTATGAAAGTTCTTGGGCAGCTGTCGATACTCTCGCTCTTCTCTCTCTCCGCTCTTTGTCCATCTCTCTTGCATGCATACTGCTGGAATGTAGTCTCAGATGCAGCCCGAAACCTGTTGTTTTTGCACGGAAGACTCGAGAAATTTCCGCAGAGAGGGAAAATTCCAGACGCGGGTACATATGCACATGCATGACCCCCCCAAGACACATTACTAATATGCATCCCAGGTTCGCAATAGCAAGAGGCCTGGCTGATCGCTTTTAAAACATGTACTGAAGCGGGCCAGCACGGCTGTCCGCACAGAAAACCACGCACGCACGCGTATCCCCAGCGTCAAGGGGCACACGGTTTCAACGCAACAAGGGGATCAACGCTAAATGCAGCGGTGTAATCGCTCGTCACAACCAGCACAAATGGAAGCAAGCTGGTATTACTACGTGCAGTTTAGTAGAGGACAGCACGGACAGCCGATGCAAGTATGCACAATAAAAAAGAGCAAATCAGAACTAATGCGCTGAGCTCTTCAGCCTACCTCCACGGCGACGTCCTCATTGTGTAGCTGATGTTGCCGTTGGATTGCGGATGACACGGTCATGTCCAACAACAACGAGCATACAAAAAGGAACGCCGTTCTTTCCAGCTGTCCCGCCATCTACCTAATACTCCGGGGTAGTAAGAAATACCCCGTGGAGAATCGCGGCCAACCCTAAGGCCAAAATACCCGCACAAGCAAACAAGACAAATGTTCACAGGTATCGCCGACATGCGGCAGACATCTGCAGACTAAACCGGGCAACAACAGCCTTGCAAAACTGCCCACTACACAACCCCGACTCTGGTTTGCGGTTGCCCTATATATCGCGCCCTGGCTCACACCCGGCATTTCCTGTGTTCAAAACACGTTGTATGTCCCCCGAGAAATTGCTAGCCGCCCCTCGAAACGCAAAGAGGACACAAAAAGACGACAAAAATCACCTCGGGTTGACCGTCAGCAGACAACGCAACGGGGGACAGGGGGGGCTAAATCCCCGGCTTTCCGCCAGATGGACATCAGGTTCAATTCACCCAAGCAAGCAGAACAGAAGGCAGGTGTCCCCTTCAACGCAGTCAGATGGCCACAATGTTCACCGCACCAAGCACGTGGTTAAGCCGCCAAGCGCCCGATTCAACGCAGCCAGATGGACAAAAGGGTTCAACGCACCGAGCACGTAGAACAGCCGCCATGAGTCCTCTTCAACGCCCATCTACTGCAGCAACTGTGTGGGGGCATTTTCATGCTGGCAAGGTCGACAACAAGGCTTTTGACACCTTTCTTTAGTAGCAGAGGCGCCTCCTACACATCGCACTCTCACGCACTCACGCACGCGCCGGGCAAAAACTGCGGACGAAATACTGCACGCGCAAGTAGGCCCAGACAGCGCACACCAATGAAAAACACTGTGGCGGTTTAAGAAATCGAGGATGCGAAATATGATAACATTCACTTAACCCTGCCTGCACTAAAACCTATATATTTCCCAGCTGGTTTACCCACTTGCCAGATCAAAACAAGCAGTGAGGGCTGCGTAAAAGAACAGCGCTATCAGAATAAGATGAGCACCGGGGCGCTCCTGGAACTACGAGCATGACAAATACGAGAGCGACGGACACAGCGACAGGAGGAGGGAAATCTTGACATCCTAGGGTCATTTTCGTCAAAAAGATATCAACACCGTGTACGGGTTAGCACATCAAAACATTCAACGCATCAGTGTCGAAATGGAAAGGTACGGAGGCGGCCTATTTGGAACTTGGATTTTCGGCCGGTTTATTCCTCCTCTGTAGACAAGTACTTATCCGCTTTCTCTTTCCTGCCGTGCACTTTGATTGGGAATATTTTGACCAAGAAGAACAAGCTACATCTATCTACGTAGAGACGCCTTTCAACACCCATAAAATACTTCAAAACACTTCCTCTGTCGCTATACCACCGGAGCACGTAGGTAGCTGGTTGTCTACGAGAAATCTTTGCGCGCTCGCGCTCCTGCCCTTCCCAAAAAACTCAAGCACCCCCTACCCCCCACCAAAAAAAACACTGATGCAAAAAATAAACGGCCACTTCGGTTTCAATCGCACCGCGGTCGCAGCTATAGGCATAAACTACCATCACGCCTTGCATAGTTGAGAATGAAAAAAAAAAATCGAAACCCCTCCTTACTCTGCAATGCAAACGACGCCCCCCCCCTCTTTTTCATTACCACGCCCCTGCCTCGAGGTCCATGGGCTTGAGTAAGTACGGGTCCTTCTTGCCGACCGTGTGGGCCGACTCTCCATGAGACCTGAGGACCCACTTGGTGGTGAGGAGGCCTTCCACACCCACGGGGCCCCTGGCGTGGATTCGCCCCGTGGACACACCAACCTGGGGGGGGGGGGGG